AAACACTAAAATACTAAAATAAGTACTTTAAAATTCAAAATAAAAACACACCTACCTCCTAATGCTCCACTGTGATCTAGACTTTTCTTTTTAAAGCCATTATAGGCAATCAAAACAGGAACAATAACAGAAAACAGCCAACGCCAAGGAGAAATAGGCCGTATGTTACCTGAAAAATGGTAAAAGTTGAAGACAAGTTGTGTTATGTCCACCTAGATTTCTTTCAGCAGTCAGCTTTGGTAACTGCAATCTGGATTAAAATGTTATCAGTACAGAAATTAAGATGAAGTCACAAAAGTAAAACATATTGAGACTTGTGTATTTTCCCAGGGGCAATTTCTTACTGGAGAATTATGTGAAATGAATTATGTGAAATGAATTATGTGAAATGAATCTCTGGTCCCTCAGCTTTTAAAAGAGGGCATTACATTTCACGGGCTACACAGAACTAACTTTTTCTTAACAGGATCAAATTAGTCCTCTGCCTTTAGGTGAAACTAAAGAAGTAACATTCTGACAAGCTACATAAATCTGATTTAATAGTTAGAAATTTATTTTTCCCCAAGTGGCATCCAGCTTACTTAGGTCCTGCTTTGCCAGCACACTGTTTTCAAAGAATCTGAGCCAATATGTAAAGATCAGGAGATTTCATATGAAAATTCCGATTCTTCAGCTTAGAAGCTAGAAACTCTGCCCATTAGGTAGCAGAGTTAACTTAAGGTGTAGAGAGGCCACCTCCTTAACATGGTGTCTCCCTTTCCCATTTAAATTTCCTACCACTCCTGGTAAGACTCCTAACATTACAATAGAATGACTTCCTTAAGGTAACATAAAACATGAACTATAGCTCGTATTCAAGTTTCTACCAAAGAAACAGGAAAATAAAAGACAAAGAGGGAAAAACAATCAACAAAAGTACGAAATATCCTGTTTGGACATGAAAACCACTGTCCCAGGCCTAATATACAAACACTCCTAGAGCTTCATTCATTTGCAATAGCAGCCTGGCCCCAGGGGGAGACACTGATTTATAAGTTCCCACTTAAGGAATTTAACTGGACAAGAACCTTCTTGCCCTCAAATCTTTTCTCCTACTGCACATCTTCATGAACAGCCCTGAAGAACTTCTGCATCCTGAAGAACATGTTTCTGATTATTTGTATGTCTCTTCGCAAAAGGACTTTGTTCTTTTTTTGTGTTAGAACCAGGGATTGAACTCAGACCCTTGCGCTTGCCAGGGAGGCGCTTATTCTGCTGAGCCATCTCTCCCACCCGAAGGGCTTTGTTCTGAAGTGGCAATTGTTACACAATCATTTTTTTTTTCTTTTCAAAGTTTTATTGATAAACATATAGCAATGAGACAGTTTCAAATCAAATCGTACACAATCATTTTTAAGAGCTCATTTTCTCACTTTGCTTCCCAGGGTTTGTTTTGAATTGTCCACTACGTTTTTGTAGGAGTGCCAAGGGAGTTTACATATAGGTATGTCCATGCTCTGGAGCAAGTTCACAGCCTTGGAGATCTGTATTCAAACTACTCTTACGTTTATTTTTCAGGCTTTAAAAGGTCTTTTTCAGCAGAAAAGTATAAAAACGAAGTATAAGAAGTAAAGCCATGCTGTTATGTTGAGCTGTAGGGGACACAGGTCAACAATTTCTCACATTGCCAGTGAAGCAGAAGACCCAATACTATTATGGACTACTGGACTCTTTTAGAATATTTTGCTGAGTTTACACACCTATAATATTAAAATAATGGAACAAAAAAGGGGATACAGATGAATGTCCATTTTGTATCTGTGTATTCAAAATGGTTAGGATAGATATATGGTTACATTTTCTTAATGAATAGAGGGATTTGTTCTAATGGTGTTTGTAAATAGGATATCAAGTCCACATCTTGTACAGCAATTAACCCCTAGGAAGAGAGTATGCAATGTGTTAATTATTGAAACTGTCCTACCAATTTGGTTTGAAACTGTCTCATTGCTATTTGTTTCTCAATAGAATTATGGAAAAAAAAAGAAAATTAAAAAAAATAAATAAAAGGTCTTTCTATTTGTGTGCTGGGGATCAAACCTAAGACCTTGAGCCTGACAGGCAAATAATACTCTACCACTAGCTACATCCCAGTCTTGTACTTCTTTTTTGCACTGGAGATTGTACCCTGGCTCTCAGCACAGAACTACATTCCAAGCCCCTTTAAAAATGTTCTCACGTTGAGAGAAGGGATTGCTACAGTGTCCAAGTTGGACTTAAATTCGCAATTCTCCTGCCTCAGTGTCCCAGAGTTCTGGGGTACTGGGGAGAACCAATGCGTCCAGTTTGTTCTACTGAGTGACCAAACAGCAGACAAATCCTTAAAACTGCCCAAATGTAAACATTAAACCATCTTTACGTTTGTATTAATTTTACAGGATGCATAAAGCTGACAACGTTTCTAAGATTCTTATTCCAAATTAATAGTGTCACTGAAATTACTTCAAAAACCCGTTTCACATTGCTTATTTTTCATCCAAGGCCAACAAAAGAACTACCGGAACATAGGCACTCTGAGGAAGGGTATAACTAGCATTCTTGCAACAGTCATTTACTAGAGACTAAAACGTTCGTGGCATTGCTTATAATACCATGTGAAAAAAACGAGGCCGTGGAAGTAAAGATAACCATTCATGATTCCAAGAATAGGAGTTCGGTGTACGTTCCAATTATAGGAAAGCAATTTAGACCATTTCTACTTACCATAATAAGTGCTAGCAGTCATTGACATAATCCAGAAAGCTAAGGAAATGCAAATAATCAAGCTCAATATTACTATATTAGTAATCATCTTTATGTATATTTTGTATATACTGTCGTCAAAATCTGTCATGGAAAACAGGGATATGAGGACCTGAGGGAGAGAACAGACAGGATTTCTCAGAGAGTCACTTAGGCGGCCACAAACACGGGTCTATAGTCCAACATAAATGCCAACACCGTCCACCGACCAAACAGAAACCCAACATAAACCGAGACGCCTTGCTTCCGGGGACCGTGCCGTGGACGCTGCGCTAACCGCTTCCGTGGGGAGCGCGGCTCGGGCGCAGCTCCAGCCCGGGGTCCCCACGCTTCCCCCGGCGCCGGGACCGCGCGGGGCGGCGGGGGCCAATGCGGCCCGGGCGGCCTCAGCGCCCCGCCCCACGCTGGCCGCAGGGCCGCAGCGCTGCACGCCCGAAACCGGGCCAGACTGCGGGGCGCGCCCGCGAAGGCAAAGCGTCCAGTTCCGACCGGAGCCCGCGCAGCCCCCAGTTGCGCGTCCGGAGACCCCGGGCCCCGGCCCGCGGCTCACCGTGTGCGCACGCGCCTCGGCTCCTTCAGATGCGCATGCGCCTCGCCACTCCCTGCGCGGGTGTGGAATTAAAGGCGAAGCGCAGGGAGCTGAGACGGACGCTGAAGCGCTTGCAAAAGGGAAAGCGAGACAGTGGGCTAGGAAGAAAACACCAAAGTGCAGGTGAATTTAGACCCAGCAAGGCCACCTCAAGTGTACTATTTCAATACTTCTGACGTTATTAAGTTCAAAGCAAATGTTATTTCTTTGGGTGTGGGGCAGGGAAAAATATTGCTACAGAAATGCAATCTGGGGACTTAGAATATCATTTAAAATGAAGCTGTTTAGTGTCTGTGGTTTGCTCACTGCCAGACAGGAAGGCAAAGCTAACTCCAGTTCTGAGCTGTCCAGTAACTGTCCTGGCATCTTGCAGTGGAAATACAGCAGTCCGTTCCCAAACCCCTGACCCGCAGAGGCGGTGTTGAGTCAGTTCATTTATAAACTAGGACCTCTCATCAGCATTCACAATCCCACTCTGTGGCTGATTTCACATCTTACCTGAAATTAATTTGTTTACCTGTGTTAACATAATTACATTATAGTTCTGAATTATTTTTCAGTTAATTTACTTGGTGAGAAGACAATACGGGGCCACTTCAGGCATAGTACACAACCGTGGTGTAGCCCACTAATCATGATTCTTTTTGTTTTTTATGTATTTGGTACAGGGCCTCACTACACAGATAGGACTTGCAGTGATCCTCCTGTTTTCAGCCTCACTGGCACTGGGCTTACAGGTGTGTGCCACCACGCCGGGCCTCAGTCCCGGGCTCAGTGCGCCCAAGGGCGGGGCCGGCGTGGCATGCAGTACTGGGCATAGAACGCCGTGATTACGTTTTTTTTTTTCCATAATTTTATTAAGAAACAAATAGCAACGAGACAGTTTCAAACCAAACTGATAGGCCAGTTTCAATAATTAACACATTGCATACATTCTTCCTAGGGGTTAATTGCTGTACAAGATGCGGTCTTGATATCCTATTTACAAAAACCAGTAGAACAAATCCTTCTATTCATTAAGAGAATGTAACTATATATCTATCCTAACCATTTTGAATACACAGATACAAAATGGACATTCATCTGTATCCCTTTTTGTTAAGTTATTTGAATATTATAGGTATGTAAACTCAGCAAAATATTCTAAGAGTCCAGTAGCCCATAAAAGCATTGGGTCTTCTGCTTCACTGGCAGTATCAGAAATTGTTCACCTGAGTCCCCTACAGCTCAACATAACACCATGGCTTTACTTCTTATATTTCATTTTTATACTTTTTTGCTGGATGATTAAGACCAAGGTAAAGCAGGACCTATGCAACGAGTTGTAGCTTTTGGGTCTGATAAGGTCACTGAAGTACCCTCAGGATTTATCCTGAGATCTGTACCTCAGATTGTAGAACCTTTGTCAGTGTCAGCCATGTGGATGAGTCTTGGCCATTGCTTGGCCAATGTGCTCTCTGTGAAAGCCTGAGAGTGTCTTCTCTCCATGTGACTCTCCTTAGGCACACTCTACGTCATCGATCACTTTCCTCTTTGGCTCCATAATCTCTTTGATCAGCAAATTTGGGACACTACTGAGTTACATGACTTTACAGTACAAGTTCTCATATGTCCTGAGTCTTAATTGACCTTGGAAGGCTAGGGCCAAAATGTTAGCTTTCCTTGTGGCTCTCCTTTTCCTCTAATTTTGGTCTGCAAACTTACGTGATTACTTTTTAATATACATTGTTTCCACTAATAGTGGAAACTATACTTTTTGTAAACTCGGTGTTAGTTTCAAAATCTATGCTCAAACAACTTGTTTTTCCTTTAATAGAACATTAGTTCACTAAGAACTGAATCTATGTAGCAGGACTAGTCTTACAATAGCCTTTTATTATGAGGCCATATATATATATATATATATATATATATATATATGTACATATTCATGTCTGCAAAACTTCATTATGTAACTGTTTTAATCTCTGTTCTCTAAATAATTGGATTACTCCACTATGATGCCTGGTCAGTATCAGTGTTACCAGACATACTGAGCTGTTGGTATTAATAAAAAAAGTGAAGACAGGTTTGTACTAAAACTGTTTAGACAAAATATCATGTCTGCATCTTGTCCTCTGAATACTACAAAGACAATATGCAATGTATTAATCATTATAACTGTCCTACTAACCTGTTTTGAAACTGTTCATTGCTATTTTTTCACTAAAATGAATAAAAAATTTAAAAAATAATAAAAGTGAATGTTTTTATGGTGTAGAGAATGACCTTATTTTTTTCTCTTGCTTTTAGACAAAATTAAACTTGGTCGTGTTTGTTTTCATTTCATCATGGTAACAAGGTGACCTTGCCTAATTATAGTTGGTGTTTGGTGAGGAAACTATGGCCCATCTAGGAGTGCCGTGCCATCTGTTAGCCACACTGAGGACTGTGTCCAGTCCATTTCTGGATGGCTGGGATGATGCTTTCTCACAGAGATTTGATCCAGTTGAAATTGTGTATTAAATTATAGTGTAGTAGGAGGCTAGGGCATGACAGCTTGGCTGAAGCAGCTCCACTCAACTTACTGGTCGAGGAGACTTTAACCATTGGTGCAGAACAGCAGAATGGGAGCCTGACACGGGATTAAGTTGAGCCCTGCACCCAGTACCAATCTGCTGTTAGTTGCGCACGCTGAATACGGCACCCCATGCCAGCCAGCGTGAGATCAAGCGCGACCACTTGGCTCAACCAGAAGACATGAAAAGACGGCAGGGATTGACTTGGGCCACTGACCTCCAGTTCTCGTGGTGGTGGAGTCCGCTTGCAGGATGTCTTCTTTTTCTTCAAAGCACCCTAATTGTCTTTACTACAGATTGTTTTTCTGTGCATAGAAAACATGAGTTTGAGATTTACTATCATAATCCTAGAACAACAGAAAGCTCATTATTAAACTAATAATCTTTTTTATTTTTTTTTAATTTTTATTTATTTATTTATTTTGTGTGTGTGTGGCCAGCTCAGCCCACCAGGGGGCGGGGCTGGCTGGCATGTGGTGCTGGGGGATTGAACGGTGGTCCCTGTGCTTTGCTTAGCTTAGCTTGTTCTAAGTAGGTGCTTTAGAGCACTGAGCCATCTCACCAGCCCCTAAACTAATAATCTTTAAACTTCACAATACACTTTTTTTTTTTTTTTGAGACAGGGTCTTGTTATCTAGTGCAAGGTGGCCTGACCTTATTATATAGACCACACTAGCCTCACATTCATGGCAATGCTCCCGCTTCAGTCTTCCCAGAGGTGGGAATACAGATGTGCGTCACCATGCCTGGAGTTTTCTTTGATATAAAGAAAGATGGATTTTTATATGATAGTTTTGGTAGTTAGTACTTGTAAATGTTATCTTAAAGGGAAACAGCACTACTTACTAGGAAAGTTGCAGATTTTATATACAATCTCTTGTATACATACTCCAAAAAGGGGGTGTGAGAAACTATGAAGAAAACCACTGTTACACACACACACACACACACACACACACACCTCTGCCTTAAGGGAACATAGAAGATGAAAATAGACATGTGGACAATTACATAGTTAAGTGCCAAGTTATGTATAAAACTAAAACACATTCATGTCACTTTGGTGTGTTTAAGGATGGTATCACATGATTGTCAAATCTCAAACTTGAAAGATCACAGCTTGCCAAGTGACTAAGCTACAGGACAATAGTCTAAAATGTCCTCCACAGCTGGTGGGATAGCTCAGTGGTCTAAAGTGCCTGCTTAGGCAAGCACAGGGACTGAGGTTCAATCCCTGTCAGCTCCATCCCAGGGTGGGCTGAGCCAGCTGCAAAAATAAAAATGTCCACCAAAGTCCCATGTGTTCAGAAATGGGGCTTTTTGGGAGGTGATCATGGGTGGATACATACACTTGGGAATTCATACTCAGAGGAGGAGGTTGGTCACTGAGGATGTGGTCTGAGTGTATTTTTGTCCCTGCCTCTTTGCTTCCTAGCTGCCGTGGGTGGTGAAATGAGCTTTCCTTTGCTATGCTCTTTCATCATGCATTTCTACCCTGAAGCCACACAGGTAGATTGATCTGAAACTGCCAAATTCAAACAAAAAACCTTTCTTAATTATACTTGTTAGGTATTGTGCCTGAGCCATGGGAACATGACTAATGCAAGAGAGATGGAAATGTTTGGGGGATAAAAAGAGGACGGAAGATCCTGAGTTCAATCCCCCGTACTGGAGAGAGGGGGGAACATGGAAACAGGATGTTGAAGAAAATGGGGGGGGGGCAGCGAGATAGTTCTGCGGACAAAAGCACCTGCTTAGGCAAGCACAGGGACTGTGGCTTCAGCCTGTGTACCATATGCCCTGCCAGGCTGCCCCTAGGATATGCCAAACCTGCCAGAGTCCATAATGCCGGAACTTGGGAGGCTGAAAGCAGGAGCATCACTATGAATCTGAGCTGCATAGTGAGACCAGGCAATAACCAAATAAATTAAAAAAAAAAAAAGAGAATGGAGGAGTTACTGTTTGCAATATACACAAAAGAATTTATCACACCGAGAAGTCACTGAGATAAGCATGAACTCTATTTCTTGATATTACACCCACCAATTTTTTTTAAACTTCTGGAACACAAATAAATACGAAGAGCCTAAGTAACTTGTTGAAGACCAATTTGTAGTATTAAATTCACCTCATTCAAAAAGAGATGTGGAGAGGAAGTACAGGGCATGAATAAGTAAATGTATTTTTTACCTATAGTCTGGAGGATGGGGACCACATCCGTTAGGTTCATGATAGTTGGCTCCATTGCTCTTAATGTGAACATAGTATTTTTGAATAAAGAACAAATATTTTATTTATGTTTAAATTCCTGGTTGAGACAGTTTTTGGTGAGATCTTGCTGTGTTGCCCTGGCTGACTTTGAACTCATAGGGATTC